CATCCTCTTATGATGCGTGAATGAAAGCTTGTAAAGTGAAATTGTATCATCTTTGCGTTAGAAATGAAATATGATCAAAAAAAGAAAAAAAAATTTGGGGCGAAACTTACAAACACCCAACAACTACAGATTTCCCAACCAGCCAACTCGTGTTTTCTCACAGTCGTAACCTTTTTACATTTCATTGACCCACAAATAGGTTAAATTTCCCTAATTTTCGTTACTGTTTCTAATAGCAGTAAATTTTGCTAGAGCATTTATAATGCCGGTTTAATTGCAACAACCAATAGGAAGAAATATTCCGGAATCAATAAGCATCTGCAAAAAATGCAGTGATTTGTTGAATGGTACACACACACACACACACACACACACACACATGCTCCCAAGAAATGTACTTTTAAAAGGTTTAACAGTTGACATTTTGTCTGTCAGAGAGAAATCGGAGGGATAAGAGTACAAACTTCCCTTCTTATCACTGTTCCAACGGAAGGGAATGGCATTCAAGATGTTAATAATTTATTTTGAAATCACAGATAAAATATATCTAACTTCAGGAAACAATACCATCAATTTCAATAAGACTAATAAACGTCTCCTACCATGAGGTTTGCAAAAAAACTCGATATTTTGATGTGTGAGTATTTCCGTAAGACTCTTGTTAGGGTTACTTTCTCACAGAGCCATGAAGAATGAAGAGATTGTCGAGGTAATGAGGTTGGAAACAATGAAAGGTTGCGATTATAATCTAGTTTTCAACTATGTGTCTTTTTTCCACTTTTATTGACAAGTAAGCCAAGTGTGGAGGAACAAGAAGCGGTAAAAAAGGTGTAACTCGAAAAGTAATTCATCAAATTTACCTTCTATTGGCATCGGACAAAATAATGGAAAAAGGTAATATAACAAGGTTAAAATTCATTTATTTAAAATGCCAGGCGTTTTGTCAGTTATCGCTAGTCCTTTAGCTGACTTCGGGCTTCACAGAGGGAAGGAACATCAAAGGGAGAAAAAGTCGAGTGGGGAAATAGAAGAATGAATCACAGATATAAATGCGATAGAGACACAAGGGTAGAGAAAAGGTAAGATGAGTACTGTGAAAGGGGTCGGATATGACATACAGTCGGGTCATGGCAGTTTGAAGTTATAAATCAACTGCCGATTAATGGACTTTTTGCAGTATGAGTATACGCTGCCCAAGTTGCACCACGTGGAGGTAACTCTATCGCACACCCCATAAGATTAAAATGAAATCAAGCAAATCTGAAAATTGGCTTTTAAAAACAGATTCCTTGAATTCTTAAATTAATATTTCAGCTCTAGTATAGCCCTAGATACAATCGCTTCGTAACTAAAAAGATTAAAACTATTTATTTATGCCTTTATGATATCGTGTTTGGCATTTGCCTGGAATTGCAAGAATAAAAGAATCTAACAGCTGTTTGATGAGGGGAGAATATCAATGTTATGCTTACACTTAATGCACGTGACACGTTAAGATTTATTGATTTTTTCTTTGCGTCACGAATTCAAAGTAGGCGTTGAATGACAAAACATTTGTCAACTTGCAAAACTCAATAACTTTTCCAATTTTGTAATTAAAAGAGCGTTAAATTCTTACCAAATTAAAAGAAAAAGGGTTCATTTCAAGTAGAACAAATCATTTACGTCTTCTACAATTATAAAGAGTAGGAGTCTTGTCTATTTACAAGCATTCGTTTGAGAAAAAATGCTTATACTAACAAAGCAAATTTGAACTAAAATGCTTCGTCAGGAATTGATTTATCACCTGTCACTTTTCCAATATGACTTTTCTGAAATTTTCATTCGATGATGATGATGATGATTTGACTACTTTCTTTTGGCCATTTTAATGAATGGATATATTATATTAAAGTTTTAAATAATAAATCTTCTCAGTTCAAGTTAGCTAGAATGTCTCGATGTATGATGAATCAGCCTCTCAGTTGCGAAAGGTCCCCATTAAAAGGACACCAGGAGTCCGACTTGTTGTGACCCCTTAAAGAGACATGTGAAGCCCTATTAAGTACCAATTGGAATAGAAATAAAGAATAATCGAGTACATTTGGCCTGTTTTAATTGAATGCAAATACTAGCTCATGCAAAGCACATGCTGTTAGTTATGCAGTTCCATCCAATCCTCTGAATCTACAAGTAGAATTTATTCCTTGTTAAAAGGCTTCCAGGATACTTTTCAGGAAATAGCTTTTACAGAAAATCTTCGACAGAATAAAGCGCCCTCAAACATCTCACGGTGCACCGATTTGTATCTAATCGTAAGGGGAATAATTCTATTTCGAGATAGAAATTAATTAAAATCTAATTAGTTATCAGTGCAGAGTGAATAGTTTCATGTTAATAAACTTAACTATGAGGAGAAGAAATTGATGCTCATGATTCCATATTTTTAAAGATGGAAATTTGTGCCAAAATCCAATTTATTAAACCTGATCAATGTGGAGTTTCCCCTTCGCAGTGTCATTGAACGAACCTGAACTGAGATAGAAGTGAAATGAGTGAATGTAAAATATACAATTTCAATCCATAAAAATAACATGAAGAATTTCATTTTTACAGTAATCATATAATTGTTAAAAGTACTAAATTGAAGGATCATTACCTTGCATTTCTTTGAGTAAATTACGTTTGATACTGGGTTATTATCGATTTTTTGGTGTTTGCGTCTATTTGGTGGGATAATAAAGCTGTAACATAACATAAACTATACATAAATTAGAAAGTTTTCCAAAATTTTCTTAAAATTTTATTTTTTAACTGTGCGTAATCGACACAGTTGAAGAAAACACTTTCGGCCCCTTTTACTCACATCCCGCAAAATTCCTGATTCACCCCAAAATTCAGAAGATGTATTGATTATTTGGTTGTTGGTTCAGACGCTATATTCATGAATTCCATCCCCCTTCATTTTCTTTCCTCACTTCCCGATCTTCCTATCACGTATAATTTGGTTGTTCTCAATTCTTGACCTTCCGAGTTGAAATCTGCCATCCCACAAATGAATACCCTCGCTCATGCAACAAAATTGCATCAAACACAACTGGTGCTGTGCAGAAATCTCCATTTCAAGACCAAATTTCCAATCTATGTTTCTATATATCTATTCTTTTTCGGTTAAAAGTAAAATTGGTGGAAGATATAGTTCCTCTTCCCCATTACTCGATCATAAATTTTCCTCATAGAATGCTTTTGAATTTAGTGTAGAGACCCCTAGAAGAATGCCAATGTAATTAACAGCAGAAAGGAATTCTGATTGCCATATCAAGAGACCCCATTTTTCTCAAGGAGAACTAAAATGCATAATTGAGAAGGTTGCTATTCTCACAGCAATAAGAAATAGGAATGTGAGTAAATGCTATCTGCTCTGTTTTGTTCTTGAACACCCCAATAAGTAATGGTAACACAATTGATTAAATTCCAAATATTCAGTTTAATTTATAACAACATTTTTCTCTTGTCCTTGAAATATTGCTTACTGCCCTCATTATAGGACAGCTTAGTTAGCTACGCAAAGTTTGCAATATTTACTACTTCCTGGAGGGACTCTATTCAAGCAACTGGATGAATACAACCTTTCCTTACAAATGACTATTTATAAGTCTAACTAGAAATTGACCGTTTATTTGACAAGTACAAGCAAGGCTTTTGGACATTTAGTAGAAAGAGAAGGGAAGGAAATTTTTATGGGACTTGATATTTTTATTTTCGAATAACTGGTATAATAACATCACATTTTTCTCTCAATTTAACTCAGATTTGTTACTGCAAGCAAAATCTTTCAATTATATCATGAGATACTTACGTCTTCTTCTAAGCACATCGTAACTATGAATTCAATAAATCCCAGTTATCAAAATGACTTGGGAATACATGCAGATGCACTCATTAGAAGACAAATTTCTTGAAAATGAATTATTAATGATTGTCGCTTGGAGCACTACTTAATTAAGTTCATGAATGCAATTAAAAGTTTCCTACTAATTGAACTCGAATTAACCATAACTGGCCTCTATGTTAAAGAATACTCTATTAGGTACCCACACATGAAACACAATGAATTTATCTAGTGCGGTTATAATATATTCTGGGTGGAATAAAAGATCCTTTAAGCCATCAATATATGGAAATAACACAGGATTGATATTCATTAAAATCTATTAAAACAAAAATCTGGTTTCAGAATTTATCATTAGAGCACTTGTGAATAAATATATGCAAATCTGTAGAAATTTAACAAAATTTTGAACAAATTCATTTGCTGGGAAGTATTATTTTGCTGGAGAGGGCTATAGGAACTCAAGGCATCTTACAACAGATAAAGCAATAGGTCTGAGTGTCAAAGCCTGTTTCACATAATAAGTGAAATTTTAAACTGTGGTTGAAATGAAGCAAAATAAGGAGGAAGACACGTTTTTGTATCTGTGCCATGAAACCAACATTTGAAGCTAGAATCATTTATGGGAGGCTTTAGCGCGAATATATAGTAGGTATTATGCTTAAATGACTACCCTCAAATAAAGTCGTAAATTAAAGTTAGCATTATTATAAATGATGAATAAATAATATTTGGTTATGAGTAACAAAATAATTTCCTAATGTGAGTGAAATATTGATTGTAACAAGTTTCCTTGCAATTAGGCAATAAGTGAACCCAAACATGTTTATCCATACACATCGATGATGGGAGCTGTAATTATCTTCACTATATCATAATGAAATTTTGTTTATGTTTAAATGAGTACATGATAGATGTACACTGCCTCATTTTTATAAAAAATACTGAAATAATTTAAATTTACATATATTAAGATGCATCAATTTGAAAATAATGTAATTCTAATTTTTAAATAACCTTTAAAAATAGTCATATTTTTGAAATATTTTTATCAACGAATCAAATCGCGTCACTCTCTTATAAAACTACACGAAGAGCTGCTATTGATTTTGAGGTTCTCTCAAGTGAAATGGCATCTCTTGAAGAAATAATCAGAGTACCCGATCGATATAAGACTGTTAAAGTTGTGAAAGTGAAAGTAAAAAGGCGCCAATCTGTTACTCCATCGTCCATTGTTTGCACCCTAGAAGCCCCTGAACATCCTAATATACCTATCAACTGCCCCGGATATGGCAAGGTTTCAATGCTCTGTCAAGAAGGAAGTATACTTAAGGCTAAGTGAGAAATTAAATTTCAAAATTATAAACATTTTAGTGATCCACTCTTTAAATATGAGGGATGCCAGCATAATGTCGTGATGCTTGATTTATGCGCAGAATGTGGTGCGAATTTGAGAAGGTATGAAGCGTTAACTCTTAATAATTTTTATTGCATAGAGATGGAGGTGCTTCTGGAGAGCGTATAGCTGCTGCTTCAGCAAGTATACCAATGGTCCATATGATTCCTGATTTACATGTTAGCGAATCGGTAATTACATCTAGTTTATTTTAGTCGCTTTTTGTATCAAAGGTTGCAGCAGAGATAGCTCTGAAGGATGAAGAAAATCTTCTCTCTCAGCGGAAGCTTGCCCTCTTAATAGATTTGGATCAGACGGTCCTTCACACAACTACGTCTCCTAACGCCTTCCGATACAATGTGAGTTCTCTGTTAAATTCAATCTGAAGAGTATATAGTCATTTTATAATTTATTTAATTTCCCTTAATTCTGCTCCTTAATGTTTTCATTGCTTGAATTTTCATTTGTGGAATGTTTACTCTATTTGATTTTTTCGAGTTCTAGACAACATTGCGTTTCCTGGTTAAGATATCTTGAGCTCTGTGCTAGTCTAAATGCAGTTTAGTTGATTTAAGTCATCTTATGCAACTTGGAGATCGCCCATCATTTGGAATTTGTAGATTTATTTCATAATTTGAAATTAATTCGTGATTTTTTTGCTTTGTCTCTGGTATTATCCTTTCATTTTTCTTGCTGACTGAAAGTGTGCTTCCACTCTTCATTCAGTTTACTTAGTTTGTTTTTGGGGTTATAAAATTTACAAAATTTATTTCTCATTGGTTAAGGTACATTTTTATTTATTTGGTTGGCTGGTTTTAAGGATTCCTGAATTTATGCCACACATGCTAATTCTTATCTGTGATGCACAATATTTAAATTATCGATTTTTGCTCAGCCCTCTTAATGAAAATATTCAAGTCTAAACTCCATGACCTTATATGGTAACATTGTTCATTTGATCAATGATAAAAACAGTTATTTTGATTTGAAGGAAGTGTCACACTCTACTCCCTCTGCAAGAAATATGAAGTTAGAGATTTTGGTCTTTAGACCAAAGATCTCTGCTCCACCGAACTTGCGCTGGGGCCGTCCTGCCCGTTTCAGGGCATCCAACTGGATGACAAGTGTGAAGCATTTCTAATACGTTCCTTAGTGAGGTTCACAATTGTTTATTTTCATTGCCACTGTCATTGATGCTTGTTGGTCAAATGCGCAAAACATTCCTGTAGCTATTCAATTCCGTCTACTTTCCGCTCACTACAGTACCATCGCCTTTCAGCCGATCTCTCTCTTCTCAGAATTGATCGAATACTTTTTCGCCCGCAATGATGAAATCAACTATTGTGTCCTTTCGGTCTCTCTTTACTGGTTATAAACTGGAAATTTAATGAATCTTTTTTTGCTCATCAAATGACACGAGCTATGGATTAATATAAATACTGGTTACTTTAAAATGCCACAAAAAACACTAATATGTGTGAGGTATTTGTTTTTGTTTTATTTACCTAAATTATGATTGGTTATTCTTTCTATTGGAATAAAATTTGACATTTTAAATTTGCCTTTGCTACCTCATTGTTCCTTTCACTTTTTTGGGGTACCCGGGTTGAAGGTTGTGCACTGGTTTTCGTGCGTTAATGCCGTATCCTCAAGAACCCTTGATCTAACACACTTGTGGTCGACTATAACAAGTGATATCATTTGCTTGTAGAATGTACATCGTTTCAACTTGGCGGGCAGTGAGATGATCTATCACACGCGTTTCCGGCCCCATCTCACTAAATTTCTGCGTCGAATGGTGAAACTCTTCCAGATGCACATTTGCACATTTGGAAATCGAGCATATGCCCACCAATTGGCCAGCATTTTGGATCCCAAACGAAAGTATTTCTGCCAGCGTATCCTCTCTCGGGATGAATGTTTTAATCCCATTACAAAGTCAGCCAATCTCAAGTAAGTATATTGGTACATATTTTATTACCAATAAACCACTTTTAAATATCGATTTGGAGGTCTTATAGAACTTTTTGAACTTGTTTTTTTATCTATTTCGGTTGGATTTGTGTAGTATTCAAAAATTTCACGAATCCTATTTTGTCGATGTGTTTTTCAATGCGTGATCAGGAATGTGCTCCTGTTTTTCTATTGGCTATTTAAATTCTATAGCAACTCTACTGTGTGTATGGGGTAAATATGCCCTTCAATACAGCTCTGGTTACTAACTTAGGTTGATAGTTTCCTGACTGAATTTTTTAGGGTGGAAATCAGTTTACCTAGCTTAGAAAGTGAGTCATATGAAGTGGAGATCAATTAGGAGTTGTTCGATCTGAGAATTTAGCGAGAATCTATCAGACTTTTGTTTTAATTGGTGAGTTTTATTTCCCCTTCTGGATGAAGAGCAACTTCTTGCTAAATGCATTGGTATGCATGTTCAAATCGATAGTCTTCCCTTTTCTTAGAGTGACTATCGAGGTCACACTGATTGGGCTTTTAATCTGAATCGTAGAACTGAATCTCTGCGGAATCATTGATTTCTGATCGAAACGATTTTGACTTGTACTTATCTAAACAATTGAATTGATTCACTTCTTTGATAAATTCAAAATTAAACTTTCCTATTTTGTCTTTTTAGAGCTCTCTTCCCCCGAGGCGTTCATCTTGTATGCATCATAGACGATAGGGGGGATGTCTGGGATTGGTCACCCAATCTCATTCAAGTCCAGCCTTACAGGTTAACATATCCTACTTATTACTATTTCGTAGCACCCACACATCTCACTCTAACCAGGCTTTCTACCATTTCTACTAGATTCTTCCCCGAAGTTGGCGACATTAACGGACCGCCCGGACGTCCACTTTCAATGATGTCAATGCCCGACTTCCGCGCCTTCACTCCCCCCACACCAACCAACACAGAATCGACTAGTTCTTCAGATGAAGAGGGTCCTTCTAAGTCGAAAATGTGAGATTTATTACTGGCTGGGGTTAATTTTTTAATATACAGCTTGTTAACTATGATTAAAGGTTAAGGTTATTGCACAATTATCACATTCGAAGTCGTTTTTTATTCATGTTACCATTGACATTGTTAACTAGCTATAAGCCAGTGGTTGGGGGGGGGGGGCATTTGTATCCCGTTCATTAGCGTTTGAGTGGTATCCAATAGCGTAATGTGGTTTTTGAGAAAAGGTTGTTGATGGGTATCTAACTCAACATGATCAGTACTTTTTAACGAAAACGAAATCTCTGGAGTGTTTTAGCCTCGTCCCAATTGGACTCTCTCAAGGTATAAGGAGGTTAGAAGTAGCTAGCTACAGCGGAGAAATGTCGTTGGGGGTGGGGTGGGGGGTGGGAGTTCTGCCACAAATCATAGGAACCACCGCATATTAAAAATTGAGCGACAACCTTTTGCTTCCATCAGTTTTTTAACTTTTACCTTACTCCTTTTCTTTCCCACGGTAGATTGAATGAGGGCTTTGTATTTACCTTTTTTTTTATTCCTTCGCCTTCAGGCAAATTATTCGCTTTCTTTTTTCTTAGCTAGCGTTTCTTCGCAATTTTAGCTGTCTAATATATTTCTGCCTTATTGGAATTTAGGCTACCACCACCTAAAGTGTCAATATCGATCTTCAATAGGAGGGGGTTGCTGGACGAATCTTAAATTTTGGAATGCGAGCCACTCATTTCGTAAATGCTGTGCAACTTGAACTTAAAATTCGAACTTAGAAGGACTATTTGCTACCCTGATGTTACATTTCTCTGATCATCTTCCCTCATATTTAATAGGACTTTTCACAATTGCCGGTTTCAGCTACTTCCTAAAAGGATTTTTTTAAAAATCATATTAGTAGCTTTGTCTGTATCGGTGGTGCGTTAGACGCATTCGTTTTGTACTTGATACTTCATCCAGTTGGTATTCTGCTTCTTTTAGATCGAAACTCCAAGACGGTATTGACAAATCGGAATCCACAAACAATGAAACACCCGTCCCTATGACCTCAGCAGATGGTGATAGCATTTCAAAAGCGGAAGAGAAATCAGAGGCTCTTCAAAAGGCTGATGAGTCTAAAACTGGAGAACCGGGAGTCGAGCACTCTGAAGGGACTGCAGAGGGTACTGCTGAGTTAGAATCGAAGGAAAAAGAAACGGCGGGGTCTGCTAGTGAAGTTTCCAAGCAAGAAGAACCAGAAGTTACTGCAACTGGAGATGAACCTGAACTATCGGAATCACAGCCAACTGATAAGAATAACATACCCACCAAACCTCAGAATGCAACAACAACGGAGAAGGAGCTCAAAAACGAGGAAGTGAGAACAGATGGGGAGCTTGAATACCCCCCACGATGTGTGTCGCCACCCCCGCCACCGTTAATTGCACCATCCCAAACTCAGTCAATTTTTGAGATGAGTGAAGAGGACCTTGACTCCTATGATGTAGATTATCTTCTAAGGTTGGAAGAAATTCTCACAGAAATTCATCGACGTTACTACCGGGCCTATGATGAGCATATGGCTGAGGTTGCAAAAATGTCGGCTGAAAATAAGTCTGTGGAGTATGGATCCAGGTTGTCTGGTATACCTCACGTGGCTAACGTTATATCCTCGATTCGAGCCGAGGTGCTGGGGCCGAATACGCACATTACAATGTCTGGTTTGACACCTAGGAATTATCCGCCGAGTGATTCGTTGGCTGGTCGTATTGCTCTGGGTTTAGGAGCTCGTCTACATAATCGTCTCAGGTTGCCTAAAGATCCGGCTCTAGCCAAGGCTTCCTCCACACGGTATATAACCTCTCCATTTGACAATAAGATGGGAAGCAATGTACTAATTTGGTTAATTCGAATTGGGGGATAGAATGACTAGATTAACCAATATTTTTGTATTTTTTTATCTCAAAAGGCAGGCATTTTGATAGTTATCATTAGACCTTTAGCTGAGGAGGAGGAGGAACATCAAAGTGACAAATAGTCGAGAAGGAGGGGGGGGGGGGGGAGCAGAATAATGATTCACAGATGTAAAAGAGACAGACAGACAGACACAAAGGCAGAGAAAAGGTAAGATGAGTACTGTGGAAGTGGTGGAATATGATATACAGTGGAGTCATGGTAGTTTCAGGTTAGAAGTCAGCTGCCGGTTAGTAGACTTTTTCGCCGTATGGGTATACTTTGCCCAGGTTGCACCACGTGGAAGTAAGTCTATCGCTAACCCAAGATTAACCAATGTTAGATTTGATATCGTTACCGTTTTCATCTTGATTAATTACTGCTTGACAGCTACCGAGTTCTAAAATATATACAGCAATTAAGTGGTAGTGCAGCTGTCCAAATATACGTCTGTTAAGTCAGCGGTCGCAGGATTGGTGCCTTTTGTTGTGCGTTCAGTAGGGTGGATGATCAACAGGATTCTTTTGAATATGAACATGAACCACTAGAATCATACTTGTTGATGGAAACTTATCCCACAGCTATTCATCGAATACGCTTATCTCTTTTAGGATACTTGTATTGGAGGTTCATTTGATAATGCCTAACCATTCTTTAAGCTTGCCTTCATGCCTTGATACTGATACGGCTTTATTATTATGTCCTCAAATCACTTTAATACATCTGCTACTTAATTTAGTTCAGTAGTTTCAACATAATATCCTCAATTTTAACAGGCACCGTAATTTCACTACTCATCTCGTGGCTTGTCGACAGAACACCGAGAAGGTGATAGCAGCACGAACTTTCCAAGCTCAATGTCGGACTTCTGCTCCTGAAATTCCCTTCCATATAGTCTCTCCACGTTGGCTCTGGGCAACTTACTTCCGTTGGGAACATTTGCCAGAATCTCAATTCCCTCTTGATCAAGACTTCAATGTACAAGCTTTTGATCCCGACGCGAACCCCATTATTTCTAGGCGCTATCATCATCGTCATCATAACGATAGACACCGTCAGCATCACTACCATCAACGTAGAAAGAATTCGAGGCCTCTTCCGTTAATGGAGGATGAAGAAACGCGGATACAGAAGGAGCTGGAAGCAAAGGAGGCTAAGTAAGTTCTACTTGTGCTTTATGAGTAGTTAGTTATGCGAGTATTGCACTAGTGCTAGTATCTATCTCAATTCTGCTTTGGTGCATGAATATTACAGTTCACTTTTTGTAGTATTTCATACTTTAGCCATTTTGCTGGGTGGGTGCTGGGCAATTTATATAATAAGTAGTTCGTTAACAAATCGAGAAAAGTTGGTGTGTGTGTGAGTAGAGTTGCTTAGGTGGACCTAAGTGTCCAGTCTCTGTCGAGTTGCCTTCCAAGATGACACCTTTCCACTGTCCACCATCACAGGAGGGAGATATGCCAAGAGGAGAAGTAAATGAGATTTTGCAGGAAGGCCATGCTTTGCTCCTTATTGGCACGAAAGACAGCCATGCGCAAATTCATCGTGTGCCGTTTTTTAATGTCCCAGAATCATGCCATCATCGCAAGTAAGATGAAGTGTCAAGGTGATCATGGTTAAGAGACATGACCATTTCCACTTATCAAGATTGATTTTGTGGAGAAGGGTAAGGTGGGATGAAAATAAGTGACTGCGGATTGTTAAAACCCACGCACATCAATCAATTGACCTTGAAAGCTAGCACCCAAGGGCTGACATTTATCGCGACCATTAAGAGTTGTAAATTGTGAGTAACCCTGTATAAACGTGGCAGGATTCAGAATGAATGGGGGGGGGGGTATTTCTGCTTATCTGCAGACTTCTAACCCTGAACATGTTAGGTCTGGCATGGTAGTCTAGCTACTTCTGAGCGTCCAAACCATCAGGGTGCAATCCCGATCGTGTGCCATAGTATATCAAACCGAAACCGCACATTTAATAGTAGATTACGTGGATTTCTAACCGACGCAACAGTTTCTTTTTTTTTCAATCAGTATTGGACACAAATTGTCAAAGCTTCTCATTAACTTTTTCTTTTACGCCTATTTGAATGGGTAGATCAGGATCAGCCTTGTCAGCTAGAATATAATTTTTAGCCTGTGCAACTTTTGTATTTCTCGAATAAGAAATATCCTGCAAATATGTGGATATTGCATGAGATTGCCTACTGCAAATCATTTTCCAGTGTGTCGTTGATGTAGACGTCAGGACATACTTGGGTACTTGTAAGGTTGCAGCCATCAAAAATGTGGAAGTGGGAGTTTCTAATCCGAGACTCCAGTTCTAGTTGTCTCCCCCCCCCCCCCACCTCCCTCNTTTCCCCCCCCCCCCCCCACCTCCCTCTCCTCCGTTCTTATCTAGGCAAATTTGTACGAATTCGTTTGTTTAAACTATTTTCTTTGAAATGTCAAATCTACATGCATGCTCAGTTTGCAGAGGGAATGTTTATGGCTTGGCTCTACTCATGAAGGTCCTTTGTGATGAATCCCTCTAATCTGCAAAGAAAGCGGGGGGGGGGGGGAACAAAAGCACCTTGTCTGACCAAGTGGTCTGTAGGGGGAGTTCGTGTAGCTACTAATTGGGTTTTACCTGCTCACACGACTAAACAGGTGGGACTAAATAGGTGACCATTTGTGTTACGGAATAGGTGTAAAGATCCGGTGCTACTTTCATGACATGTAGGGGTTATTCAGCATGTACTCAAGATCTGCCACAGAGTGCTCACGAGGTTCAGCTTGTTGTCTCTTAAGAAGAAAAAACCGTTTAGAAGCCGAAGTAAATTACAAAGTGGGTGGGGGGGGGGGTGTACGTGAGCAGTCCTCCAACGATTCTACTCTCGGAGAGATTTCTTGCTTGCAGCGGAGAGTGCTGGGTTGGCAATTGATTTTGGCAGATGTTGATCCGATGGGAATGTGCCTTTTTTTCTAATTTCACACCTGTCACTAAATGGCTATATTTCATTGCCTCTTTTCTCAAAGAAGCGTGATATCCCATAGTGTTTCTTACAAACGTTACTGTGACCTTTCTCGCATATAAATCGCACTATTTACCATAAACGCGATATCCAATTTAAAATTGCAAATTTAGAATTTCACCCTACTTAATCACCCATTTGTGATTTTTGTTCTAGAGTAATCCATTTCACAGTGGCGCAGTTATGAGGTTTGAATTAGTGGGCTCTAGCGAAATGCATGCAAGAATTGGAAGTTTGGAATTCTTTGAAAAGCTATCATAACGACGTTTTATCGTTATGCCGACATTGAATAATTGCCAATTACCCCTTAATTAGGCAGAATATATTCAAAACATGAGTCATGGCTATTACCCAAGTACCTACGATGTCTTCATTCCTTATCACCATAATTGCGCCACACACCTGGGTCTTTCTTGAGCACGCATTGTTTTTCTTATTCTTCATCTTCTTCTCCGCAGTACTTTACAGTGATTTGTGGTTGGTGTGGCTTGGCGTAATTCAGTGCCTCCTGTCAAAAGCGTTTCGAGACTAATAGCTATGATGTTGCTTCACGACAGTTTGTGAGGCCTCCTGTTTCTCAAAACTTTGAGTGGTCAAAGGAGTATGCCAAGTGTGTGGGTGCTGCTGACAATCGATTAATTAATGTACATTTTTTTGTGTGAAATAGATGTGTCGTCGGTGAAATGTTAAATGGAGTATTCTTGACGCACCATAACTAACTTCAATGCTATGGCTTTTTTTGTTGGTTATTGATTTTTAAGGCTTATTGGAAAGTGTGATCTCACTGCCACAACCTCGATCCAACAAACACATCAAAAGGTCACTTACAGGAGGTATTGGAATTAGGTCACTCCATTGTGGTAATACACTTCAATCACGTAGAGGCTTGTTTTTTTACGATAATCAGTCTTAGAACTCTTTCAATTGTTTTTTTGCATCTGCTAAGGAAATGCTGCGAGTAAATTTAATCTTCTTTGCACTGGATTTCACAATTTAAGTTGGGCTACCTTTTTTTCTGGAAATTCACACTTTTTGCATTTTAATCCCCACCACCTAATTCCATGAATGCAATTAGCACGACACAGATTGTACCTTTTCTTAATGACCTTGTTCGAAGTGTGTTTGTCATCCGTGAGAGCTGTTTTAATTGTTTTTTTTTGGTATTGAAGGAAGAGGAAGTAGATTTGATCTAAAGCTCAAACCATCCTCGTAAACAGTGTTTTTAATGAAACCTCATGCCCGTTTATACACGTAAAATGCACATTTAAGGAATCCTTCATTTTGACTAAACTGTATTTCTCTTCAATCTATTCACCCCGTATTTTTATGCCTCCCCTATGTAACCTACAGGAGGAAATTAAGAAGACCCACCTGATTCGATGTCCACCCCTAAAAACAACGACGGAAAGCCAGAGATACTGGGAGGCAAAAAGACAGCTAATGAACTGCTATTAATTAACTGCTATATGTGTACCTCCCCCCACCCTAGGGAGAAGCTGAAGTCAAATTTTAAGGGCTAATGGTAAATATCATAAAGCCTGCTATTTGAAATAAATAAATAAATAAACAAATGCTATCGAATGGCACCAAGTTCACTACACATTGAATCATTATTTATATCAAATGGCAGGCGTTTGATGGTTATCATTAGCCCTCTAGTTTACTTCAGGCTTCAGAGGGTGAGGAACATCAAGGTGGAAAAAAAGTCGATAGGGGGGGGGGTGACAGAAGGGTTTCTCAAAGACGAAGGTAGAAAAGGTGGAAAAAGGTGAGGTGAGTACTGTGGAAGTAGTCCGATATGACATACAGTGGGGTGATGGTAGTTTGAAGTGAGAAGTCAACTGCCGGTTAATAGACTTTTTTGCCGTATGAGTATACGTTGCCCAGGGTGCACCACGTGGAGGTAAGTCTATTTCGCCCACCCCACACATTGAATCATTAAATATTAGGTTTCATAGAGGGTTGGTTGGCGAATGCCCCTTATCAATTCCCTGCCAAATTTGTGCTCTTGTGTATACTGATAATCTGATTAATAAGCTTTTAAGCTCAATTTGGGTGTGTTCTCACGGATGATGATGGTGTATTTCTTTTCTAGTGTGTGTGTTAGAAAATACGCTCAAATAATTTCGTTTATTTGTAGACTCAGGGCAGGTCCTAAAACCTGCCCTGAATGCCTCATCATTTAACTGATTTTGCTAATTTACACACTCTCCCCTCTTCTAATGGGCTAATGCCATTCCCCCCCCCCATTTCCCGCTTAATTGGGTCATTGAACGGTATGCCGGCTCTCGGATGGCGGATTTGTGATCACAGGGTCATTCATTCATTTCAAATGGGACAGGCGTTTTGATAGTTATCATTAGCCCTTTAGTTGACTTCAGGCTTCGCAGAGAGGAGGAGGAACATCAAAGTAATAGGAAGTCGAGGTGTGGGGAACAGAAGAGTGATTCACAGATGTAAAAGAGGCAGACAGACCCAAAGGCAGAGAAAAAAGTGAGGTGAGTAGTATGGAAGTTGTCGAATATGACATACAGTGGGGTGATGTTATTTTGAAATCAAAAGTCAACTGCCGGTTAATAGACTTTTTTTGCCGTATGAGAATACGTTGCCCAGGGTGGACCACGTGGAGAGGTAAGTCTATCGCACACCCCGTGATCACAAGGTTTATACCACGGTGTTCCTTACTTACTTACCGCCTCTTTAATTGACTCACCAAATCGGGTTCACAATTTCCAATTATTTCCCCTGAGACTCTGGTTTCATTAATATCTTTGCCTTTTGGCTCCTTTCAAGGGGTCAGTTCATGTACCAACCCGATTTTCTTCAATCGAAAAGGCATATGCACACGAGCAAATACAGCACATGTTAATCCGTTTGTTGTGAAAGGGAGGAATAGATATAGTAGCCCCTTTGACGTTTCCGACGCTAAAGGCACACCTCACGTGTCGCATAGACGCGAAATGTAAATCAAGCCAGGTAGATCACAGTAGGATGTGCCGAGACACCTCTGCCAATTGCTCGCTTTATTGTGTTCAGGCCCAAAGAACTGGTCTTCATCTGATTCCCTTGTCCTTACCGAACTCTACTGCTGTTTTATTGCATTTTAAGTGGCTGTGAACTCCTCACGCTCCCCACTAAATTACTCCATCAATAATCGTATCCCCCCCCCTCTCGGTACATTTTGTCTAATATGTACTCCAATTCATGCAAAGGTTGAATACGGTGTTGGAGTAATAAGTAAGTAAGGTCCCCAATTTCGAAGCTGCTAAATTATAGAACTCGGCGAATCAGAGTCAGATTGTAGAAGCGATGACTAAATCTCTGACGCCCAACAGTAGCAATCGACAGCTCCAAGAGTGGAACAAAAAGAAGCGTGTGTAGAACGTTTAGATGCTTAAGTTTTGAATGGAGCCGTAGTCTTCACCAGTTCGACTGATCCAACCACTGTTTTTAGTCCATCGAAACCAGTATTAACTCCGGACCTGCTCCTCTCAACACTCAAATCGATTGAGGAAGAGGAGAAGGAAGAACGTAGAAAGCACCACCGTCACCACCATCGGCATCACAGCCAAGACTTCAATGAATTCTCTTCGCCCTGCTCCTCACGCAAACGAACCAAGTCTGAGTCCGCCACCACGGCCATGGTTGATACATCGATTTCCAAAAGACGATGTCTTCGCAAATCTGACGGTCATCTGGACGCGCCTACTGGTGGTATGTGCTGCTAGGATTCACCTAATTGTATAAGTATTCTATCGGTCGTACATCGTGTAATTAACTGCGTGCAGAACCCAAAGACGCTCGGACTCGATAGGTCTTGACCAGATCTGTGGAAATGCTATTTAGGGAGTCTGGCCAATGGTTTAGCTTAGAATCTTGGTGTCTAGAGATTACATGTAGCTTCATTTGTGTTCACTCGTAGGATAACGACATATCACAGACTAAATTTTGTTTATGAATTAAGGTTGAGGGGGTATGCTCGTGTCACCGATTAAAGTTTCCAGCTTTTTTCGAATTAAGATTAAATTGTTTGTCTTTGCTAAGATTAAGCAACGTTTAGGTCAAATTAAGCCTCTACACTGCCTTTTGAAAAGTGGGTGGAATAATTTCCTTCAAAGGATAGTTAAGCATAGGTCGTCCATAATACGCGAAAGCGGCAAGAGAACGTTCATCCAAACTTAAGGACGCAAATCGGTAACTGAATCCAGTTAAGGCTGTCTTTACATTACCAACTTCTTTATTACCACCCTAGAATTCTTTGCTTTAGATGGAGATAATCCAAAATCCGAAGAAGAGGTGGAAGAAGACGAGAAAGAGAAGAAAATGATACCTAAATCTCCCTCCTTGTCACCTACGTCCAGTTCAGAGAGTGAAGGCGACGACGAAACCCAAGTCCCTGATGGTGAAGGACCAAGTTCCAGTTCTATGGAATTGCCAATAGATATCCCCTCTTCAGATGATAGTGACGCAAACAATATGTCCATAATTTCGGACAGTGATGAGGATGCATTAGCTTCCACGATAGATGAAAATGAAGATAGCGATGACATTTCCGAGGAGGACGGTGATGGCGAGGAGGAGGAGGAGGAGGAAAAGGAGATTGAGGATCTGGAAAAGGAGATTGAGCAATACTTACCACCTCCTCGTCCCCTTGAAATCGCCGACAATCCACTTCTACATATGTCGCCTATGGTTTGTCGTTACTTTGGTTTAAAAGTACACCTTGATTAAATTTATGGAGGGGTTGAAGAAGGTTATCATTAAGAATCTGTTTACATTTCTGGTATGAATCATTACCTCCGGGGGGGGGGGTGGAGGGGGGTTAGGGAGTTAGGAGGAGCTATTTAGCCAAAATGTGTTCATTATTTACCGGGCATAAAGTAGATTTCAGTCTTGAATGGTTTGGTACTCGTTGCCATAGTTGACGTCGTTTGGAACTTGTATATGAAGACTTCTGACTGGATAATTACATTGGATGCTAGTGTTCTACAACCGGACTCATATCTTTGCATTCGGAAGAGGACGTACTTTTGGAACTGAAATACTTGGTGGTGGTGCCTGTTGCATCTTCATAAATCAAGTTTTGTAATTACTACAAACAATTTCAGTCTATTTAAACTCAACTTGCTGTGGTCTGTTTGTGTTCATCGTTAACGAGAACTGAAATTCTCTCGGCTTTGACTTAACTCAGACGCTATTGATCCGCCACTTCGTAAGGTCAAGAGTTGTCAATGTGGAATTGGGTGTATGAAAGTGTGTATTATGTAAGCACGGCCTATATCACATTGCCTTACATCCCCAAATTTGTCCTGTGGTTAAGTGAATATACGACAGGCATTAGACTCACTAACGGAAGTCTAGGCTGTTAGCGACTCAAATTACTGGAAGAAAGCTGACTGGCATGTTTGTTCCTGCTTTTTTCTGCATAATGACAGCCTTTTTATTTGACTTCCATTCGCAACTCAGAAGGTGATGTAATCGTGTTGTTGTCATGCTTACCTATTTGCATGCTAATGATTTGGCACGGTAGTTGCTTAGCACATTGTATCGCTCTCACACACGCCACACACCATCTTAGTTCTGGCATCTCTTTCACCACTAAGGCAATGTGTGAGTATGCAAATACTTGCAGTTATAGTGATGATATTTATCTGCTTGAGAATCACTTATGTGCAAGTGAGTGATTTGCGAATCCTAGTGTTCTTCTTTTTCCGCAGTTACTACTCTCATAGAGAGAGTTTGGTAACCCATGTGTTATTCATGCTGGAACCCCCTATTTGCATCTTGTTCTAACCAATATTTATTTATTTCAAATGGCAGGCGTTTTGATAGCTATCATTATCCATTTAGTTGACTTCGGGCTTCACAGAGGGGAAGGTTCATCAAAGTGGCAGAAAGTCGAGGGGTAGGGAACAGAAGAGCGATTCACAGATGTAAAAGAGGCAGACAGACACAAAGGTAGAGAAAAAGGTAAGGTGAGTACTGTGAAAGGGGTCGAATATGACAACCAGGGGGGTCGTGGTAGTTTGAAGTCAACTGCCGGTTAATAGACTTTAATGCCTATGAGTATACGTTGCCCAGGGTGCACCACGTGGAGGTAAGCTATCGCACACCCCTGTTCTAACCAATATAGCCATTTATTATTTGCGCAACTCTCCGCAAGCCATTCAGTGTGGAGCCAGACGAGGCGCCAATGTACTAGGCCGCTAATTCATCAGCCCCATCGTATTCCAAACCCAAAAAGTCTTTAGAATAACCCTATTGCTTATTCAAATGTTTTCTGCAAAACAAATTAACACAATCGACCCAGATTGAGGTCAGCCAATGGGTCCAACATCCATGGCAGAATTATTAGACAGGAGGAGGGGCGGGTGGGGGGTGGGGGACGTTTGGAGGATTGAAGAGGTTGTTGTTGATCTGGATCATTTATTTATAACAAATGGCAGACGTTTTGATAGTTATCATTAGCCCTTTAGTTGACTTCGGGCTTCACATGGGGGAGGAGGAACATCAAATGAGAAGAATTCGAGAGGAAGAACAGAAGAGTGATTCACAGATGTAAAAGAAACAGACAGACATCAAGGCTCAGAAAGGGTAAGATGAGTACTGTGATGGGGTCGAATATGACATACAGTGGGGTTGATGGTAGTTTGAAATCAGAAGTCAACTGCTGGTTGATAGACTTTTTTGCCGTATGAGAATACGTTGCCCAGGGTGCACCACGAGGAGGTAAGTCTATCTCACACCTCTGATCTGGATCATTAATATTGGTGCAAAAGTTTGTGTATGAGAGAAGGGAGTTGGGGGTTTTAGTGTTTCAAACTTGTCAAGAAATTGTTTGAAAAAAAGAAGTTGAAAATAAATCTAAGCTGGCTTGAGTATTAGGAGGATTTTTCTAGGACCACTTAGTAGGGGAATACGAGTTTCTTCTATGAGGGGCACCGGGATACTTCCCCACTACACAAGTTTGGCGTTGCTATTACTGTTTAAAATTTTTGTTCTTCTCCTTAAACTTTTATCAACTCAATGTGCTCTCTTCAAATTACTCTGCTCCTATATATTAAAATTGGGATGATCGCCACTAACTGCTTTGGATTTTGCTGTTGACCAATTTAGGCCAATAGGATAGATTTACTGGGCGTTTATGTGATTACTTAATTAATTAACTTCAAATGGTCAATGTTAGAGTGCTATTTGTTTGGTCTTTTTATCTACGTTATAGGCTACAAAGGAGATGTTGGATGAAGTGGAGGACGCGATGATGGAGGAGGAACTCGAACGTGCCGCCTCAATTCCACCGGAAATGCTGTACGAAGGCGAGGCATCCTCTTCGTCCTCATCTTCCACCTCACCTTCTCGAGGCAACAATTTAGACGAAGATGGGCAACTGGACAGTTTAGGAGGGAGCTGCGGTGATGAGGATTCCAACGAATTTGATCAGGGTGATAAATCTCACAAGCAACTCGAAGAGGAGGCGGATAGATTGGAAGTGCGTGCTGCCTTTATAACCCCACCGAGTTAGGCTTATAGCTAATTGGAGGTTTGGAGTGCCGAGGGGGGAAGAGATTGGGCAGAAGCAGGATATGTCTAAATAATTTACGTTGAGAGGGGTGGGGGAGAGGGTGTGTCAGTCTGTGGCTAATAGAGTAGACCTGGGTCTGACCCAAGGAATGCTAAAATACCTTTCCAGGGACTCTCAACTACCACTCTGAGGAGAGGTCGGATGCATCCATTCTAATCTTGCTCTCGCGGGACTGCATTCTAGGAAGTCTGCTTGCGGGTGGTTGACGTACCGTTGAGTGGCATCCGCAGTATGCTCACAATTAAATTTTGAGATTCCTGGGCGGCTTGATTGTGTTTCAGTGAATATCGTCGTGCTGGCATGCATTTAGATAGAATGCATTTCGAATCAGGAGACATTGATTAGATGCTTTCAAATTCACTCATGGAAAGTTTCTACGATGCTCATATTGTTCGAGGAAAATGAATTACATGTTTACCAATGTATCGTCAACCATCTTCCACATACGTCGATTCAGTTATAGTAATTGAGTTCATTGTTTCTTTACAGATCCAGATTCAACTTCTCATTCGTCGAGGTGCTGAAGCCAATCGAAAGAAGCTAACTGGTCTCCGTCAACGGCTGCGAAGTGTCAGGCTAATGCTAACCCACCCAGCTAAATTTCCAGAAGAAAAGAATCGTCAGGTATGATGTGGAGGAATTCTCCTTCCTTCAAATCAATGCCACTTAAAAATTGTCACTAATTTGGGTTTTCGCTTTCCATATTAGGGCTCTCATCATCAACGTGATCAAGATCTATCTTCACAAGAAGAAGCCGATAATCGGGAATTCAACACTTGTCCAGAGGGTTATGATTATGTTGACGCCGAAGAGGCCAGGCAGCTTCTTCGTCCAGAGACAGTGAAAGTCGGTAACCGCCGAGATGAAAGCGATAATGACGACTATTCTGAAGACGATGGTGGGCTGGCGAACAGGAATCCTCTAAAGCGCATGAAGAGCAAGAAAAGCATTCTGGGAGCTGCTGGTTATCTGGAAGCGAGTCTCTTTGGCTCTGAGATCAGCTCCTCTTCAGACGAAAATGACGGCGAAGACGGTGGGACATAGACGAAGTGGCGGTTTAATTGTTGAAGATCATTGGAAAAAAACGTTCCTGTAAAAAGACCTCATTGAATTCGTATTCTGGTATTATATTCATCCCCATTCTTATACGCGCACTGTTTTATGTAACTTAAATAAAAGAGAATTTAATGGTAAATGCTTATTTTTGATTCAATTTTGACTCCTAAAAGGGGACAATATAGAGAAGGACTAGAGAGTTTCTTCCTTCAACTGATATCGTCTATAGAAGCTAACTAAAAGAAGGCTAAGACTTGGAACGAGAACACCTATGCTTGACGATTGGAAGTTGTTTGTAACAAATGGCAGGCGTTTTGATAGTTATCATTAGCCCTTGAGTTGACTTCGGGCTTCTCAGAGGGGAGGAGGAACATTAAAGTGAGAAGAATTCAGGGGGGGGGGGAATAGAAGGGTGTTTCAAAGATGTAAAAGAAACAAACATAAAGGCTCAGAAAGGGTAAGATGAGTACTGTGGTAGGGGTCGAACATGACATACAGTGGGGGTGATGGTTGTTTGAAGTGAGAAGTCAACTGCCGATTAAAAGACTTGCCGCAAGAGTATACGTTGCCCAGGGTGCCCCACGTGGAGGTAAGTCCATCGAATACCCCTGGAAGTAAATGAAAGGAGTGTAATGTGTGTAGGTGTCAGTACCACGAGGAACTGACAGTGGAAAAGAATGAGTCAGCGGACCTTCAATATGCAGAGACTCGCAGGTCTACGTGTTTGGAAGTTCGGTTACTACAAGATCATCCACAATTGGTTAACATTAATTTTAAAAAAAAGTCAATAGACATGAAAATCACACAATCGCCAGAGTTTTACTCACAATCTGGTGCAGGTCATAATCGTGTAATCCTATTGAAGCAATGACATAGTATTCTCTTCGACAGAAGAAAAAATGTTCTTTTTTTGCTACAACTCTTCATTCTGGAAGCTCAATTGTCAACTGCCGATTTACAGACTTTCTTCTCTTGACTAGAGTGCACCACGTGGAGGTTAGTCTTCAAATTACCATGACCCGACTGTACGCCGTATTCGATTACTTCCCCAGTACTCATCTTCCCTCTTTTTCTCTGCCTTCGTGTCTGCCTCTCTTGCATCAACGAATCGCTCTTCTGTTCCCCTCTCCCTCGACTTTTTGTGACCTTGAAGTTCCTCCCATCTGTGAAGCTCGAAGTCAGCTAAAGGGCTGATGATAACTATCATAAAACCTGTCATTTGGTATATGTGAACATTCTGGGAAATCATCTGAAGGCAGATAGGGGTAAAACAGCTGATTGAGTAGAAATGACACTTTGCCTCATTCGACGTTTAGATTCGATTAAAATACTGAAGCGAGTTCACAGCCTCAGAGTTTAGGATATCTAATTTTCAACATCTGAATGAAGTCCCATTTTCAATGTCAAGAGCGTATTGACCCACTGATTAACTGGGTTAATATATATATATATATATATATATATATATACATATCAAATGACAGGCGTTTTGATAGTTATCATTAGCCCCTTAGTTGACTTCAGGCTTCACAGAGGGGAAGGAACATCAAAGTGAGAAAAATTCGAGAGGGTGAGAAGAGAGATTCAAAGATGAAAAGGAGATGGACACAAAGGCAGGGAAAAAAGAGAGATGAGTACTGTGGAAGTGGTAGAATATGACATACAGTGGGGCCATTGTAGCTTGAGGTCAGAAGTCAACTGGCAGTATATATACCTTTCGCACACCCCCATTTATATATATAAATATAAATACATTATACATATAATGATAAAATAAAACACTCTCCACTAGAAATGGATTATTGTGCCGCCACGTATGCTCGTAGTTAAGTTATCTTATGCATATGCGTAGCAGCATAAGAAATTCATGCTCTCAAGAGCAATGCTCACGAACCATTTTACGCAGTAATATGGTCTCACCCAACGCGGTGACCTCAACACGTCTCCATGGCATAGATTCGAAACAATGTTCGGAGTAATGCGTCATCGATCGTTACTGTACATTTGCAGAAAGACATGAAGTTTCAGCCTAATTGAGACATTTAATTGTGCTTTTGCGCTGGGAGTAAGCCGTTGAAGAGAGAGAGTACTTTTGGAGGGATAATTAAAATGTTGTGCGAATTAATGCACCCCATTGAACTATTGGGTGATCTATATGTGTGCGGGTACTTAAGTACTTAATAATATATAAGGTTACAACTAAGTCATTGCCGATTTCAAATAAGAAGGCAAATTCTTAAGTCATTGCCAATTTCAAATAAGAAGGCAAATTCGGAAATTTTGTTTAAAAATATAACTTTATTCAATTAGATATTGGCCGTTCTTGTCGACGACCTTTTCTATTCAATTAGCTATTGACCGTTCTTGTCGATGACCTTTTAATTAGATATTGGCCGTTCTTGTCGATGACCTTTTTCCATTCGTAAAATGTCTGGTCTTTGTTATTAAAAAACTCAATTAGATGTGATCCGACATCATCCGCGTTGTTAAACATTTTACCATTTAAAGAGTTTTGCATGGAACGAAACAAATGGTAATCCGAAGGCGCAAGGTCAGGGCTATATGGTGGGTGTGACAAAACATCCCAACCCAGTTCCAATAATTTTTGCCGAGTAACCAAAGATGTGTGGGGCCTTGCGTTATCATGATGGAAAACAACACCCTTCCGCCGATTTGATAATGCCGGCCGCTTATCTTCAATTGCATCCTTCTTTCAGTTTTTCGAGTTGTTCAACATACACATTTGAATTTATCGTTTGGTTCTGCAGCATGAGTTCAAAATACAAAATTCCTTTGTGATCCCACCAGACTGACAGCATAATCTTTTTTGGTGAATCTCTGCTTTTTATACTGTTTGGGCTGGTTGATCTTGCTTCACCCATGATCTCTTGCGAGTAACATTGTTATAAACTATCCACTTTTCGTCGCCAGTAACTAGGTTCTTCAGAAATGGATCATTCTCATTCTCATTGCGTTTCAGTAGCGGCGAATCACAGATGCTGATCTGTTGCGTCAAATGAATTTCAAAACAAAAGAAAGTATAGAGTGAATCTGTCAACAAAAAACGGCAATGACTTAGTTGCCCACCCAATAGTTAGAAGATTTCGGTAAGTTATAGGGGTGATTTAATTACTTAATTAATACTTAAATTATGAAAAAAAACAAAACAGATCCCAAATAAGTGTTGGGTAAACATGTGCAGAAGCTAATAGTGGTAACCATGAAAGACGCGTGGGATACGTTATCGCTGTGTGCGTCATCGTATGCCTGCATATC